TATGGTGGGCCGGAGCACTGGTAAGTATACTGTAATGGCTGGACTCCAACTGCACTCACAGTGGGCCATGGGTGATAAGCAGGTTGACCCAGGGATGGATAAGTAAACACATAACTTGGTCGTCTTTCTCTCGTGGACTGTCTCAGTGGGATCTGAGGTTCAGGTTGTGGTGTGGGGACCTGGTTCTCTTGATGGACAGCATGCCGTTCCTCTTGATCGGTTATAGGTTGGAGCTGCTCCATGCCATGTTCGTCCTCACTGGATGTCCCTTGTTCCTCGTCTCTATTACTATCCCTGTCCTGTTCAGGTTCTGCCTGAATCGTTTCACCCAGGTGGGTCTCATTCTGTTCAGATCTGTTTAGGAAGTCAGGAGTAACATGCGGCACAAGTGAGTAACTTCCAGCTCTCGGCTTCTCCATCGGTACTCGCAACCAGTAACGAGGCACGACCTCCTCTTCCTCAGAGTCACTTACATCTGGGTCCCGTGTCTCGTGCGTGGGTTTCGGGATCTCTGAAGCTCTCTTCTTTCTCTTCTGCGACTCAGCTGTGTTAATAGTCCGAGTTCTGAAGAGGCTCTACAGGTAGGTCGTTGACTTGTAAAAGGAGGTTCCTGTGTAAAGTGCGAACTGGTCGGCCTCCCGCCTCCGGGCTTACTTTGTAGACAGGATTATCTCCAACCTGTTCTCTCACAATGTAGATAAGCTGTTCCCAGTACGGTCTAAGCTTTCCAGGGCCCCCTCGTTCACTGAGGTTGCGTACAAGGACTCTGTCCCCAGGCTGAAGAACCACCCCTCTGCTCCGTTTATCGTAGTATGTCTTCCCTTTGGAGCTGGACTGTCGGCTGTTTGCGTCTGCTATTCTGTACACCTCGACCATTTTTCCTGCCCATTTCTCAGCATATCCCTTTTGCCCATTCGTTTCAGCCCTCTCATCTGTTAGGAGACCGAAGAGGATGTCCACTGGTAGGCGAGGATGACGGCCGTACAACAAATAGTATGGTGAGAAACCTGTGGCCTCGTGTCTTGTACAATTATATGCCTGGAGTACATTGGGTAGGTGGTCTTTCCAACTCTCCTTCTCTTTCTCTCCCAAGGTGTGGCCGGAGATGGACTGGGCTTCGACTGGAGCAGGTCGTACAGGGGTTTGGCTATACATGAGAAATCCTGCACGTATGTCCAATAATAGCTCAGGAACCCAAGCAACTGCCTGACGTCCCCAATTGCCTGTGGTGTCTTGTCTTTCAGTGCCCTCACTGCTTCAAGGTCTTTGGGGTCCATTTTTACTCCTTCCGCTGACACCAACCGGCCGACATATCGGACCTCCTTGCGGAAGAGCTCGCATTTCTCCGGCTTTAGTTTTACCCCGTGGTGTTGCAAGGCTTGGAGGACTCTGCGTAGCACCTGCACATGCTCATCAAAGGACCTGGAGAAGCACAACACGTCATCGAGGTAAGGGATACAGCATTCGTCTCTCAGTATGTCAAGCATACTTTCCATGCTCCTTTGGAAGGCTGCTGGGGCGTTTGATAGCCCAAAGGGTATCCTGACCCACTCGTAGAGCCCCCATGGGGTTATGAATGCGGTCAGGTGCCTCGATCCTTCGGCAATAAAACCTTGATGGTAGGCTTTCCCTTGATCAAGGATCGAAAACCAGGCATAACCTCCCAGGGAGTCAGTGAGGTCCTGAATTCTGGGGAGGGGATGGCGGTCCGGCACGGTCTTGTTGTTGAGGAGCCGGTAATCGACACACAGGCGCAAGGATCCATCTTTCTTTCTTACACAGATAACAGGCGCTGAATAGGGCGAATGGGACTTCACAATCCACCCTTTAACTAACAACTCCTGGATGTACTCCTTAACTTCCCTGTAGAGTGGATTTGGGATGGAAGCGTAGGTCCTCTGAACGGGAATGTCGTCCTTGGTTCTGATTTCCACCTGCAGGGAGGGGATGCATCCTATGTCGTCGCTGTCACGGGCGAATGCCCCACATTCCTCGTAGAGCACTTCCCTTACTACCTGTTGTTGTTCAGGGTTGAGGTGGCTGATATCAACAGGGGGGAGCCAGGACTCTGGCGGGGGAGCGCTGGGAGAAGCGGCGGCTTTAACCTCGACTGAGGTCATCTTTCTTGGTGTGGGATCAGCTTGAGGTAACACTGGTGCATCTGTCTTAATGACCTTGACAACATGTTGGATGGTTCCCAGAGAGGTTCTCCTCGGCAGGATGATCTCATGCTTTGAGTGATTGGAGATGGGCACCTTCGAGTATTTTCTGTCCGCTGCTCAATCAAAGAAGCCACCATGTGGGTCAGGGTCTCTACCTGAGAGGCAAGGTGTTGTATTGTCTGGAAATTTTCATTGTCTGATGTTGTATCCCAAAAGAGCGAACCGCCATCTTCATATACAAATCTCTGTATGAGAGAAGAGGACGGCGCCCGTCACCTCGGTACCGCAGCACAACGATACCTGCACTTTGGTTCCGCTTTCTTCGGTTCCCCCTACCTTAATATTATCCTACACAAAGAAGGTTGCAATTCTAACAAACGACTGCGTATTATCACAAACACATATCGTATGAATATTAACTTGTGTTATAAATCAAGGTGTATCACACTTACATAACATAATAAAGTAAACTGTAGCTAATGCAAAGAATGGGCGTTTTATCAGTTTACAGTTAACCTTACACAGCAGAAACGGAGGGGCTTAATGTGTTAAACCAATAGCAGCAACACATCATGTAAGTTTGAAACATCACTTTCTTTAAATAGAAACCAGAAAATACTTATGTAGTAAAAAAAAACAGTTAAATGTTCCATTTGAGACAAACTACCTTTCTAAGGGTATGTTTACATGACAACGATGTCCTTTGCGTTTTTGAAAAGTTTTGCATATAGATGACAAAGATTTCAAAATTAATCCCATTCATACAGATCCGCGAAAAGGAAAACTAAATAAAAAATGCTGTATTATATGTGCCAAGCCAGTAGTTGGCGATGTTCATTTGTAAAGAAACACTATGCGCCTGCACACGTACACATTCTTCTAAAGTGCAGTGAACAAACATTGCAAAGCATGCATGCATGGTGTCAACCCGTTTTCAAAAGTTTGCGGTTGCAGGCCCCCAAATGCCATTGTAATGTAAATAAAAGGACAAAACACCTACAAAGTTCTTAGTTTTTAATTGAAAACAGTGATGTGTAAATCATGTTGTGGCATTCTACTAAACCAATGGATCTTATGAGGCCTGGGCCCACTAGGCGGCCTCAGCAAACTTCAGCGTTGGCCCCAATACTTCTTAAAATGATTTAAATGTAGTAATCAGAAATAATAATCATAATTAATATGCTAAAACTATGGTGGCCGAGAGAGCCACAACAAATTAAGAAAACATCTTCATCTGTTTGACAACACATGTGCTGCAAATACTCACAACGCGACCAAACACAGAAACGCACTGCAAATGCTCATAACACTACCAAATACAGAAACGCTCTGCTAATACTCGTTTTAGTATTTGGTTGTGTTGCGAGTATTTGCAGAGCGTTTTTGTATTTGGTTGTGTTGCGAGTATTTGCAGAGCGTTTCTGTATTTGGTCATGTTGCGAGTATTTGCAGCACATTTCTGTATTTGGTCGTGTTGCCAGAATTTGCAGAGCGTTTTTGTATTTGGTCGTGTTGCGAGTATTTGCAGAGCGTTTCTGTATTTGGTCGTGTTGTGAGTATTTGCAGAGCATTTCTGTATTTGGTTGAGTTGCGAGTATTTGCAGCACATTTCTGTATTTGGTCATGTTGCCAGAATTTGCAGAGCGTTTTTGTATTTGGTCGTGTTGTGAGTATTTGCAGAGCATTTCTGTATTTGGTCGTGTTGCGAGTATTTGCAGAGCGTTTCTGTATTTGCTCGTGTTGCAAATATTTGCAGCACGTTTCTGTATTTGGTCGTGTTGCGAGTATTTGCAGAGCGTTTCTGTATTTGCTCGTGTTGCGAATATTTACAGAGTGTTTTTGTATTTGGTTGTGTTGCGAGTATTTGCAGAGCATTTCTGTATTTGGTTGAGTTGTGAGCATTTGCAGCACGTTTCTGTATTTGGTCGTGTTGCGAGTATTTGCAGCGCGTTTCTGTATTTGGCCGTGTTGCGAGTATTTGCAGCCCGTTTCTGTATTTGGTCGTCTTGCGAGTATTTGCAGAGCGTTTCTGTATTTGGTCGTGTTGCGAGTATCTGCAGAGCGTTTCTGTATTTGGTCGTGTTGTCAGTATTTGCAGAGCATTTCTGTATTTGGTCGTGTTGCGAGTATTTGCAGAGCATTTCTGTATTTTAATGTGCTATGAGTATTTGCAGCATGTGTTGTCATACTGATGAAGATGTTTTTTTATGTGCTGGTGTTTTTTTATTTGTAAGTGTTTTCTTAAGTTGCAGCATGTTGAGCTCTCTCGGACAGTTTATAACCCCCACCCCCCACCACTAAACATAAAGATGTACAACATTAAACTATTATGTTATTGGTTCATACTATACTACACTTTGCAGAAATTTACAAAAAGAAACATTTGACAGGCTATAATTGAAGCACTGAAAATGAATATCTTCAATGTGCACTTCCATATTCGCTGCAGTAAAACCATTCGGAGGAAATGGTTGCGCCATTCAAAGGACATTTCACTTTGCACGTTTAACATTCTGAAAACGCATACTGCCGAAAAAATAACAGTATTTTCACAACTCTTTGCTTTTTCTGGGGAAGTGTGAATCTGTTGGGGATGTGTTCATAGGGCAAATAAAGGCCAACCGCTTTTACATCCACAAAGTAGAACAATTTCTGATAAGAGAATGTCGAGAGAGACAATTTCCTCCTGTTCCAGCTGACATGCATGTGACTAACCTTAGAGAGCATTTTTTTAAACAAGAAAACAGTTCCTTCGTCCACTATTCCCTTTGGACAGTATGAACGCTTTACATGGGTTTACTGTACCTAATACGACTTTAATATTATTAGACTGTTTGCTTCGTGCTTCCTTGTTCTGTCACTGCAAAGTTAAATATGTCGGCATGGAAAGAGAAACTAAGGAGAGTTGTTACAGTGGAACCGGTGATTTTCCTCTACATGACCAGCACTTTCATCGTGACACCTGCATATCAACAAATGATTATCACAAAGGTAAGAGAGCTGCTACTGCTGCGATTTAAAGGAGGAAAAGTAAAAAGAGTGAAAGGCAGAGACATTAATCAAATGCGTCCGGCAAGTCAGTGTTTTGTTCTTTGAACTGAAAAACAGGTCAGCAGGGTCCAGTTCTAGTACACAAAACGGAAATGCCCGAAGCAGAACCACGGAGTGCTTGGAGAATAGCAGTGGAGCTCGAGATGTACTCAAAACCCAAGACTACAGCAGGCATTAATCAAGCCGAACCGGCCATGACAGTCCCAGAGCAAAACAACAGGCGCTGTGATCACTCATGCACCAGATTAAACAATCGCTGACAGTCATTAGTCTGTATTCTGTTGCTGAACTTAAACATTGGCTATGCTTGAGAAACTGCAGTATCTTTGTTTTAACCTTGTGCAATGACATGAAATTTAACTTTTTTTCAGGAGCTTACATGTCCTGCCATGTGACATACAACATACAATTGAAATCTTTTTAAACAGCTTTTGATATTTATATATAATAATTCAATATAATATTAAATATAACAATGAAATGAAAGATGGGAAGACAACATGGAAAATGTATACATTCAAAATGTTTGCTTTCAAAAAAAGCTCTCTGTAATTTCTGTAAATATGTAAAAAAACAAAAAAAAGCCAAATAAATAAAATACAGTGATATAATAATCCATTCCTTTTAAATGAAAATTTAACGTTAATAAAAATTTTGCTTTAATAATATTTTTTTTTAAGTTTTACAATAAAAATAATTTATATATATATAGATTATTTACAGTGGGTACGGAAAGTATTCCGTAATTTTTTTAATTTTTCACTCTTTGCTATATTGCAGCCATTTGCCAAAATCATTTAAGTACAAATAGTATTTTACAATTACTTTACTTTTTGTACTTAAATCTAATATAATTATGCAGGTAATTTTAATGCTGAGTTTTTACTGTAGCATTTTAACATTCTTTTACATTAAAATTAGTAATGATTTTTACTATTTAAATATATTTACATCCTGATGAATTCTGTACAGAGAAGGGTTTAAATGAATGGCCTTTTTTGTTGTTTGATTTTTTTTTAAAACAATAATAACTTTAACTTTTGTCTAAAAAGAAACAAAAAGCATCAAAGTAAAACCGAAAACACAGGAACAATAATATGTGTGGACTCTGAAGACATTTTTATGAATATAAATAATGCAGTGAATATATGCATTTGCTTAAGGGTGACGCTTTCCAAAACATGCAGCTGTTTTTAGTTCCTGCTCTTGTCATACTGCATTTTTTTCCCCTTTTCCTGAGCGAGTGTCCTTCCTTTCCTCTCTCCTTTAACTTCTCTTACCCTTCCAATGAACTCTGCAGCTCCACACATAACAGCTCTCAGAAAAATGTGGATGAATATATCATATGAATGAGCACAACTCCACGCAGTGAAAACTGTTCAAAGATTAAAGAGGGTCCAATCATTTATTGCAAAGTGTTCATTTATGCCACTCTTAATGGCCTCGATTCTTGCCATTTACTCCTTGATATCATCATATTTGTGAGGTTGCAGTTCGTGAGCTTCCCCGAGGCTTGTTCTTACAATAACTGAGGGTGTCCCCCGGCGCGATGACTTACTGCTCGGGTTGTGCATCATTCCCATAATGCCTTAGAGCATCATTACTGACACTGAATAAAAAAAAAAACAAATTAGAGAAGTAGAAAAACCTCAAAGCTAACCTAAGACGCACTAACCGAATTTCGTTCGATAACATTTGCTCTACCTAGAAAAGGACTGTTAAATGTCAAGATGTCAAAGTGGCTAGTTTTGTGCAAAGTGCTAAGCTGCCTCACCTAAAAAATACTGACCTACAGTAACTGTTGCCATCCAACATTTTATCAGACCAGCTTGTGCTGTTATCTCATATAAACATGTTATGAACACTTTTGTTCACTTATCTACGAAATATCATATGAGCAGGAGTGCTGTTGAGCATGAACCCTTTTATTTTATTTTAGCATGAATATAATGCCAAGGTAAGAAAACACAACGTACAGTCCTATAAATGTACATTCTTTTTTTAATGAAAATCTGAAAAATGTATGATGTTAATAACTGTTGAAATGTGCCATCACAGTCTGCGATCAGGGTCCATTAGGCATGGATGCAAGTGTGATATGCAGCTTCAGTTTGGTTCAGTTCATACAATATTATTCAATAATAGCGTGTCTGTTTTTATTCCAAATGGAGTAACAAAAGCAGTGTCTCCAAGCAACATACAATAGTTTTGTTTTTTGACAAATCGGTTTAGTGTATGAATGGATGATTCACTCAGTGAATGACAGTCACTACTGCCGTAGAGATTAAAATGCACAAAAAAAATCATACAATTATGGCTATTTGGAACTATTTTACGTTTTGGCAAACTGAAAGCTAATGAGTTCGTAAGACTGCATGTGAACATTTTTGTATGATCTGCGTACACCCCAGCAACGATCGGTGGACCTTCATAATTGTTTTTTTCAGTCATACATTTTTGCAGAAATCACAATTCATTGTAGTCCCCCCAGCACTTAGCATCCCAAAGTTAAAAATAAAATTGTTAGCATTAGCAATGTTTTCCCTGTGTAATCAGAATCACAAACAACTAGCCAGTTTGTTTAATGACTCTTTCAAAATGACTCACATACTCAAGAACAGGGTTTGAATCACTCTGATGAACTCACTATGACCACTTACTGAACTGCAAATATATATGTCTTAAAATGAAAATTCTTTCTTGAAAAGAAGGATTATATCATTACTAGGACATTCAACAATTATTTTTGTACTCGTAAGTAATACAAAAAAAACATTCATAGCGACGTGTAGCTATACAGCTATGGAAAAAAATTAAGAGACCGCTTGAAAATTCTCAGTTTCTCTGGATTTACGATTCGAGTGAAATGTAATTTTTGTTTTATTCTTTAAACTACTGATGAAATTTCTTTTTTAAATTTTAAATAAAAATGTTGTCATTTAGAACATTTTGGTTCATACTATACTTCATTTTTAGACAACACAATAGCAATGTTTCAACTTTAATATCAATATTTGGTCGAATACCCCTGATTAATCACCTTCTCGTTGTAATACCTATGTCATACCCATGTTATTATACAAATTTGTGTCCTCATAAACCACATAAACATGCACACACACAGAGTATATGTGTGTATGCATCCTATGTATGTATGTATGTGTGTGTGCATACATACATATATGATTGTGTTCGTGCTGTTAAACTGGACAGTGAGTAGGAATAGGTTTTTTTTGCACAATAAATCTTATTTATATATAAACCCGATTCCAAAAAAGTTGGGACACAAATTGTGAATAAAAACAGAATGCAATGATGTGGAAGTTTCAAATTTCAATATTTTATTCAGAATACAACATAGATGACATATCAAATGTTTAAACTGAGAAAATTGATCATTTTAAGGGAAAAATTAGTTGATTTTAAATTTCATGGCATCAACACATCTCAAAAAAGTTGGGACAAGGCCATGTTTACCACTGTGTGGCATCCCCTCTTCTTTTTATAACAGTCTGCAAACGTCTGGGGACTGAGGAGACAAGTTGCTCAGGTTTAGGAATAGGAATGTTGTCCCATTCTTGTCTAATACAGGCTTCTAGTTGCTCAACTGTCTTCGGTCTTCTTTGTCGCATCTTCCTCTTTATGATGCGCCAAATGTTTTCTGTGGGTGAAAGATCTGGACTGCAGGCTGGTCATTTCAGTACCCGGATCCTTCTTCTACGCAGCCATGATGTTGTAATTGATGCAGTATGTGGTCTGGCATTGTCATGTTGGAAAATGCAAGGTCTTCCCTGAAAGAGACGACGTCTGGATGGGAGCATATGTTGTTCTAGAACTTGGATATACCTTTCAGCATTGATGGTGCCTTTCCAGATGTGTAAGCTGCCCATGCCACACGCACTCAAGCAACCTCATACCATCAGAGATGCAGGCTTCTGAACCGAGCGCTGATAACTTGGGTTGTCCTTATCCTCTTTAGTCTGGATGACATGGTGTCCCAGTTTTCCAAAAAGAACGTCAAATTTTGATTTCCCTGAAAGAGACGATGTCTGGATGGGAGCATATGTTGTTCTAGAACTTGGATATACCTTTCAGCATTGATGGTGTCTTTCCAGATGTGTAAGCTGCCCATGCCACACGCACTCATGCAACCCCATACCATCAGAGATGCAGGCTTCTGAACTGAGCGCTGATAACATCTTGTCCTTGTCCTCTTTAGTCCGGATGACATGGCGTCCCAGTTTTCCAAAAAGAACTTCAAATTTTGATTCGTCTGACCACAGAACAGTTTCCCACTTTGCCACAGTCCATTTTAAATGAGCCTTGGCCCAGAGAAAACGCCTGCGCTTCTGGATCATGTTTATCTTTTTTGACCTGTAGAGTTTTAGCTGGCAACGGCTGTGTTCACCGACAATGTTTTCTGAATTCCTGAGCCCATGTTGTGATTTCCATTACAGTAGCATTCCTGTATGTGATGCAGTGCCGTCTAAGGGCCCGAAGATCACGGGCATCCGGTATGGTTTTCCGGCCTTGACCCTTACGTACAGAGATTGTTCCAGATTCTCTGAATCTTTGGATGATATTATGCACTGTAGATGATGATAACTTCAAACTCTTTGCAATTTTTCTCTGAGAAACTCCTTTCTGATATTGCTCCACTATTTTTCACCTCAGCATTGGGGGAATTGGTGATCCTCTGCCCATCTTGACTTCTGAGAGACACTGCCACTCTGAGAGGCTCTTTTTATACCCAATCATGTTGCCAATTGACCTAATAAGTTGCAAATTGGTCCTCCAGCTGTTACTTATATATACATTTAACTTTTCCGGCCTCTTATTGCTACCTGTCCCAACTTTTTTGGAATGTGTAGCTCTCATGAAATCCAAAATGAGCCAATATTTGGCATGACATTTCAAAATGTCTCACTTTCAACATTTGATATGTTATCTATATTCTATTGTGAATAAAATATAAGTTTATGAGATTTGTAAATTATTCCATTCCTTTTTTACTCACAATTTGTACAGTGTCCCAACTTTTTTGGAATTGGGTTTGTATTATCCTAGTATATAGTATAAATAAAGTGATATATAATAAATAATACAGAATAAACTATATTCAGAGACAGTTAGGTCAGAGACAATTAACTTTTATTGTAGTGTTTACTCGACAGTGCTGTGGTGCTTTATATATTGAAATTTATATTCAAACTTATTTTGAATAACTTTTGTCTTTTGTAGGTGTGTCAAGATTTGTTCAAGAATGATACTATCTGCAGTAACCCTGAGCACCACAAAGGGGACGAGGAGGTTCAGACGACAGCCTCCTACATCCTGCTTTTGTTCAACGCCACCCTCAGCCTGGTCTCCATCCCTCCCGCCATTATGCTGGACTCCTGGACTGACCGCGCTGGCCGTCGCTGAGTCATGGCGCTCCCTTCTGTGTTGTCCCTGTTGAGTGGGGGGTTGATCTTGGCTGTAGACTTGTTGGAAAACATCAGCGTTTACTGGACCCTGATCGCATGTTGCCCTAACAGGCCTGACAGGTGGCCATGTCTCCATTTTCCTCAGCTCATTCAGCTACCTGGCCGACCTGACCATGGGCTTCAGCTCCAGTCGCACTTTACGTATGACAGTGGCCGAGTCCATGATATTCGTTGGAGGCACAGTGGACTTCCTACTGGGTGGATTCTTGGAGCAAGAATTCAGACTCCAGGCAGCGTTCGGGGCCTACGTTGGCTGCCACGTCCTGACGGTGCTTTATATTGTGCTTTGGCTGAGAGACCCTACGATGGGAGAAAATACATGTATAGCTCCCTATAAAGAGGATACAGTTGAGCAAGGTTCTCAAGCAGATGAGTCCCGTCTGTTTATCATAAAGTACGCCAAACTTTCTTTCAAAGCAGTGTTCAAGAGGAGGTCAGGCAAGGACAGACTGAAATTGCACTTTCTCATTCTCTGCACCTTCATAAATAACCTGGTGGCTGTTGGTCAGTGCAAACTCACACATACACTAACACAAACACAGACATATACACTATAGGCCAGTGGAAAAAAAAGTGTAGAAACAACTTTCACTCATATATAAATGGGTAAATTTCACAATTAATTACAAAGAAACATCAAGAAACACATTGCATTAAATATGAAGTGTTTACTGTAAGTTGAAAGTCTGAAATACTGTAGTATTTTCTAGTAAAAATTACTCCAGTAATCTTTTTTTTTAATTTACTTAAAAATATAAGTAAACTTAAACTTAAAAATATATACTTTTTACAGTATTTCAACATTATGCAGGTTAATCTCAATAAATCTGTCAAGAATGGAAGGGAAAAAAAATATTATTATTATTATTATTATATATTTTTTATATATATTTTTTTGCATTGACAAAGTTTTTCATGAAAATCACCTGTTAAAAACTGGAAAGTTCCTGTAATTTATAGTTTTTGTAATATTTGTAATTATTGAATAGTTTTAAATTAATACATCATTAATTAATTAATTATTTCTAATATTAATAAACATTTAAATTCCGCATACACTATATTATAAATAATTTTAATAATAAATAGTTTAATACAATATATTATAAATACAAATACTAATTCTTTTTTTTTTTTACTTTTTATTACTTTTTTTTCTTTCTGGCAAGTAATTATATAATAATATAATAACATGTTTTCATTAAAGTTACTGACCTACTGGAAAAACTGTTCCATAAACATGTTTTACAATGTAAAAAAAATATTTTAAGTAATATTTTAAATCATCATACTTTATAATATAAACAATATTAATACAATTAATGATTAAATACAAATTTACAAAAAACAAAACAAAAATATATATATTTTTTATTATTATTATTTCATGCTTTAACCCATTCAGACTTTAACACATTAAGTTTTAGTAAGATAAATTTAAAATCAAATATGAAATAATGAAATAATGCAGCATAAACGTTGAGATGGCTGAAATGAATTATCAGTGCAGCTATTATGTGCCCCGTGGTCAAGTCAAATGTTTATGATGATAATACTGCTGAGGCACTGCAGGGAGGTTTTAAAGCACTCAATCTGAGTACTGTCACTCCTGAGGCCAGAGAGAGAGAGGGACAGTGTTGTCTGTATGTCGCTATCAATTTCCATAAATTCTTAGAATTAGATATTAGTGTTCCTAATAATGCCTTTAATTTGATCAAATATAATTGTTGTTATTTTTATAGGTTCATAATTGTTCAACCATCTCGTTTGAATTACACTCTGTATTGCTTTGAAAAATATTGATCTTTGAAAGTCGTGGGAATAAAGAGCTGGAGAGAGAGGGGACATTAATAATAATGTGCTTTTATGTGCGTTTGTCTTTCCAGGGGATCAGTCGATCTTGCTGTTGTATTTGATGTATGAGCCTAGATAGTTCACAACTGCCCTGTTTGGGGTATTTAACTCTGTGAGGATGCTCTTGATTGTAAGTGGTCTTGTTCAATGCAGTAATGCTTTCTCTGATGACTCATGTCTCTCAGCTAACTCAGAGTGGAGATCAGTGGACGTCCTTGAAATACCACTAAATCTTTCGATTTCAGACTCAAACAGCAGTGGCCCTGCAGTACGGCCATTGACTGGACACGTTGCCTTCTCTTCATCTGAGTCTCTTCTCTAGCACACACAGCAGAGCACAATGCCCTCGCACACACACCCCTTTGATAACCAAACGTATGTTCTTTATGATTATTTATAGGATTTTTCCCTGTAGTCAGAGAACGAAATGGTAAAGACAGGGGACTGACACAACTCTGAACAGACAGCACACAAGAAGATACAGCATCAGTCCATTCAGGTTTTTTCCCGTCACATGGCCGGTTCTGCTCCATACGAGCTGCAGTAATATGGCACAGAGGGACATATACATTCACATGTTGTAAAACCAAGAATGTAGGTTTTTGTGGACACCGTCAGCAATGTTTAGTCTTTATGACTGTAAATATAAAATCTGCTAAAGGTCTCAAATTAGCTAATGATTGTCACATTATATCAGTTTAAAATAGGTTTCTTAGATAAATAGTGTTGGAAAAAAAGCAGGTAAGTTAAATTAATTCTATGATTATTATTTATTGTGTATTATTATTATTTGTATTATTATTATTAATTGTATTATTATTTATTAAATCTCCCAATGTACATGGCAATTATATTTCTTGTGATGTTAAGATAATCCAATCAACTGTTACCCTTGTCATGGTTCAAGTGTTGAAGTCTTTAGTGGCATTTTAAGTTATTTAATAAGTGATATTATTAGTTACAGTAAGGCAAGGCAAGGCATGTTTATTTATCTAGCACATTTCGTACACAATGGCAATTCAAAGTGCTTTACATAAAAGAAAGTAAAATAATCCAATTTTATTAATTTAGATTAGATAAAAACATTATCACAGAAATAAAACAAGGAATTTAAAAACTGTGAAAATGATTTAAAAATTGATTTAAAATGAATTTAATACTTTAAGTTAAAAATAGAAAATGATTATACATACATAAAATACAGTGCAATCAGTTCGGACATCGCACAGTGCTCATTCACTAAATGCACAGCTAAACAGATGAGTTTTGAGTCTAGATTTAAATGTGATTAATGTTTTAGCACTGCTGATCTCTTCTGGAAGCTGATTCCAACTGCGGGCGGCAAAATAGCTAAAAGCAGATTCCCCTTGTTTTGTGTGAACCCTTGGTATTTCTAACTGACTCGATCTGAGTGGTCTGTTAGGTTTATATTCAGTGAGCATATCTGCAATGTATTTAGGTCCTAGGCCATTGAATGATTTATAAACGAGTAAAAGTACTTTAAAATCAATCCCAAATGTAACTGGAAGCCAGTGTAAGGACCTGAGGACTGGTGTGATATGCTCAGATTTTCTGG